TGAGATGGCCCTGTTATTGGAGAAACTGCTGGGATAGACTGATACAATGGCAACAGCTCTATACACAGCCAGTACAGTGCAAATTTTTAGACAAAAAGTTGATGACTATCCCTGATTCACCCTGTCCACTCCTGGGCAAATCCCATCTATGTTGTCAGGATATACTACCAGCTGGAAGAGGTGAATCCTGGGAATACAGAGGATCACGATCACTGTGGCTGAAAAAGACTGCAGTCAGATTGATCTTTTGCATATTATTTCTTCTTCTGGGCGAGAGTCCTCAGCAGGTGACAGGGGTAGAGAAGGGGGGTCATCCTCACAGGCAGCAGTGGGATTATATTCTTGAAGAGATGCCCCCCACTCCGATCTGCTACAACCCCCTTGTTATTTCTCAACTCTTGTGAATCTCTCACAATACCTTTCCCAAGTGTCAAATTCTTTCTTTTTCCACTGGACTCACAACTTGCCTTCAGTCACTGCATCTTAGTTTCCTGTCATTTGTATTTTGTCTGCACACTGCATAATCCCAGAGAAGCCACTCCAAACTGTTTTTAAAAATAAGATGTATATGTTACTATGAGAGGGGTTTTCAAAAAGTGTTAGTGTATCTAAACAGACAATCTCTATAGCTGCCTTCTAGACATTTCTGATGAGATTCCTCTTTTTCCTTGTAAATATAAGCAATACTAACTTGGTAATAAGCCCAGTTTTTCCTCTGATTTTGATTATAGGCTCTGAAATGCAAATCTTGATAATGAGAATTAAGATGGGCTGTATATAATCAGGACATACAGTGGAGATTTGTTTTTAATCACCAATCTTTTAGCTAGAGAGGTTGTGGAATATCGGTACTTGGAAATTTTTATAAGTACAGATCAGACAAACACTGGGATTGTTTGGGCATGGGATTGGACTAGGTGACCTCTTGAAGTCCCTTTCAACCTTATTTTTCTATGATTCCACAAAGATGGTCTCACTTCCTCAGACTAAAACCATATGTACATTTCACAGGGACACCATCTGCATCTACTATGTATAATTTTAAATCATAAACTAGTAGTAAACTAGCACAATATGATGCAAAATACATATTTACTATAGTCTTTGTTTCTGTATACAAAGCCCCCTGTCAACTTTCCAGATATTAAACTTCTAGTTCCCCCTTAAAGGGCTTAAAGCCCTATACTACCATGATACTTCCCAAGGAGAACTTGACTCTAGGAGGGTGTCAAGATCAGAAAGTTTTTCTTGTGGAAGGAGAGAGAAGTCTCTGATTTGTTGAGACCAGTAGGCCATTCCCCACCCTCCTGTCTGGCTCAGTGATAGAAAACTTGCTGCATTGGCAGGTCTGATTTTTGGCTTGAGAATCCCAGCTGATGATCTCAGCAGGTTTCTCCAGGTTTTAAGCCAACTTTTTGAATAAGGTGATGCTGACCAATATAAAATGTTTCAATGTAATTTCTTGCAAGGAAGCAAGGGATCAGCCTTTATTTCCCCTGCCTCTCTGTCTCTCATTTAGGGTGAAAGGTGCCATAGCAAATTGTGTCTAATGTGTAGCTGATCAGCAAAATATCCCCACCCTGACACTGGGGATGAAAAGGAACTTGAACATTTTGCCATTTTCAGTGAACATTTGTCAGAATAAAAGGAAGTTGAAGGTGTTGTTTTCATTGCTATTCAGTCAGTAGATGAAGAATGGCTTAGGAAAACCTGGCCAAAATAATAGAAACTGGTTTTCATCAAAATCCTTTCAAAAGGGAAATGAAGGTATCCTTGCAAATAATGAATCATCCTTGCCAAAGATAGGGCTCCACTGTGGTGCAGTCTGCTTAAAGGCAAAACAGAAAACCTAATGCAGCTTCAGCTTGTAGTACCAAAACTTTAAACATTCCATAACTGTAAACAGTAGACCGTGAGTCCATGGGGAACATTTTGGTTTTATTAATCATTATATAATAAATTAGAACTAGAGAATTTGAGTAAAGCTAGGGCTGAGGGGAAGATATACAAAGAGTAAGAGCCTTGTTATATGTTGCAATGTTGATCAGTGTTAGTACTAGGCCAAATTTGGGACAGTCACACTTTAAGGCTAAAAAATCTTTTTCGACTGTCCCCCACCTGCACAGCTATGACTTGTCAATAGAGAGCTGGTGAGTAGGGGCCTGACTAGGAGCTGCAGTTGTGCATTGGCACTATAGGGCTGGTGAACCAGGACAGGCTTCTATCCCTGCTCTAGGTAGGGGAGAGGGGTATGAGAGAGAGGTTGAGGGGGGTGTGAGAAGAAGGTGGGAGGCAGAGAGTTAATGGGATGGGCATGGGTAATGAAATGGGAAGTGTAAAGTAAATGGGGGTGGGGAAAGAGTGGTGAAATGAAAGAAGTCAGCTCCTGAAGGCTAAAATAAAAAGTAAAAAAAGAAAAAAAGTTAAAAAGAAATGAAGAGGAATTAAATTAAAGAAGGTCTTATGTTTTAAAAAAGTGGAATTTGGGATTGGGATGTGGGGAGTACTGGTCATACTTTCCAGGGTGGCTGGGAGGTGAGGGAAGGCACTTCTGGGGGAGCTACTGCCCCTCCTCCAGGAAGGAAACTCTAGTTCACAGGGACCAGATTCAGCCCTCTGCCTTGTTCCCCCCACCACCCCCACTGGACCCCACTCCTGGACCCATCCATGCTCTGAAACCTGGCTAGTTGGTTTGTGCTCTGGGCTTGCACCCCTGGGGTGGGAAGGTCACATCTTCATGGTTGGGAGGGGAAGTTGACTTGGTGCAAGAACCACCCCCTAAACAATAGAGTTCAGGGGGTGGAAAGCTTGTTCATACAGAACAGAAGGGTTGGGGAAGGGATACTGCATCCTTGGATGCTGAAGGACTGCAACTTGTTTGGAAGACATAGCAGGATTGCTTGCATGACTGGAGCACTGTCATGGATGGGTACAAACTGTTCAGGAAGGACAGGCGGGGGAGAAGAGGAGGAGTTGTGCTTTATGTAAAAGAGCTGTACGGTTGCTCAGAGCTCCAGTATGAAACTGGAGATAGGTCTGTTGAAAGTCTCTAGGTGAGGGTTAGAGGGGTGAGCAATGTCATGGTGGGTGTCTGCTATAGGCCACTAGACCAGGACGATGAGGTAGATGAGGCTTTCTTCAGACAACTAGCTGAAGTTTCCAGATCACAGACCCTGGTTCTCATGGGGGACTTTAATCACCCTGACATCTGCTGGGAGGGCAATAAAGCAGTGCACAGGCAATCCTGTGCAGTTTTTGGAGAGTGTTGGAGACAACTTCATGGTGCAAGTCTTGGAGAGACCAACTAGGGGCCATGTTCTCTTGGACCTACTGCTCACAAATAAGGAAGAATTGGTGGGGGATGTAGAAGTGGATGGCAAGCTGGGCAGCAGGGACCACATGGGCATTGGAGCGCCCACCCCATATGAACTGGCACTGCATCTCGACCTCTCCCTGGTCTATCAGGTCAGATGTGGGAGCATGAGTTTTGAATTGGCTGGTGCGGCAGTACTGCATAAAGGTCAAGGCCGTGCAAGCACAGTCACCATCACTGACCATAATGGTTGGATGGGGAGTGCCCGCAAGCTAGGACCCTTTATGTGGCAAGTGACAGAGATCCTTACACCCTGGGCAGCAGCAAGGGGGGCCTGCCTGAGCCCCCATCCTGGCCTGGCACCCACAGTGCCTCTGAGCCACCTTCAGCCTCCCCTGCAGCTCAGGGAGCCCAGGCCAGATCCTGCCTTGACAGCTCCGCAACCTCAGCCCCAGCCACAAGGTGTGACTGGCCAAGTCACCACTGACTGCAAGCAGTGCTAGCACCTCTCTGCCAGCACCTCCCAGGCACGCTGTGGCCCAGTGTCCAAAGAGTCCACCCAGAGCTGCACGCTGTTGCTGCCAGCTGAGACCGAATGGAGCCACCAGCCACACCAGCCCTGGCCATGTGATAAACCCTGCATGGGGAAGAGGGTCCTCCCTGCCCTGGTCCATGCCCCTTCCTCCCCTCCCTGCCTGGCTGCACTCCCCTGGCCCCTAGGTTTCCCCCTCCACAACACATAGGGAGGTGGGAGACAGTGCAAAACTTTATTAAGCAGGCCGTGCTTCTGCATCTAGATGGGTACTGGCTTTTCACATGCCAAAGAATGCATCGATGCTAGTGGTGATGTCCTCCTGGGCTGCAAGGGGCAGGGATGTGTAGCACAGCTACAGATAGCCTTTCAGGTGGCAGTGGAGGTTGTGGGGCAGCCAGGGCTTGCCCCCTATGCCATCATAGCTTAGGGTCCCAGGCCAGTTGAGCAGGTGCACCCAGGGCACCAGGGTGATCATCATCAGCAGGATGTAGTGGGTTGAGCACCCCTCAGTCTATGCAAACAGCTCCTCACACAAAACCCAGGACAAGCACAGCAGGGGTATGCTCAGGGCACAGTGCCAGCATGGGGGGCAGGGTCTGGCCCCAGGGCACCTCCCCAGGAAAGATTCCAGCAGGAAGGGTGAGGGCATGGGCAACTCCTCATCCTAGTCACCCAGAAGCCTCATGCCCCCTGAGCCAGGGTGCCATGGGCTTGGCAGCAGCACAGGAGACAGGTTGGCCAGTAGGAAGAAAAAGTGGGCCAGCAGGGTCTGGAGCCATGGCAACAGGTGCTGCCACGAGCCTGACCTGTCCCACCCTAGGAATGGGGTGGGGGAGGCAGGCAGTCTGTGGTCATCAGCACCCAGTAGCCCACCTGCCCCAGGGGGGTGAGCGAGGATTGGGGGGATCAGCTGGTGGCTACCTGGGCCTAGTCCTGTCTGGCCAGTTTACCATGGTCCCTGGGGACTTGTGCATGCACGATTCCCAAACTGAGGCCGGGCAGTGCACAGCCACTGGTACAGAGCATCTTATTTCTGAAATGTTGCAAACTCTTATAAACAGCTTCTTTCGCATGGCTGTGCAGGCCCTGCAGCTGCACGTGGTGGAAAGCCTGCAGTTGGCAGCCAGGATGAAGGCTCAGGGTTACCTCCACCCACATCTGGGGCCCTGCAGATGCACTGGCTCCATCAGAGAAGGACCCTGGACTGCACCATCCCCCTGGACTGGCTGGTGATGGCTTCAGAGGACTATCTGGTGGATGCTTGGGCTTGGCAGTTGGAGGACATGACCTGCAAGGACGTGTGGGACTGGTGCAAAGAGGTGCAGAACTGGGTGGATTGGTAGTTCTGGGGGAAGCTCCTGGCCCTGGAGGTGCTGTGGGAGCAGAATAAGATCCTGGTGTGGGCAGTGCAGGCCACAGACGATGACTGCTTGGCACTGGACACTGTCCTGGCCATGGTGGTTGCTTTCATGCTGCCTGCTTCCCAGTCGCTGACCGTCGTCCTGCCTTCACCCTGGCAGTCATCTGCCACCCAGCAGCAGGCATCCCTATGGACCTGGGAGGAATGTCCTGTGCCACCTCCAGCAGCCAGGAACCTCTGGCCCAGTCCCTACCCCAAGTTCCCTGTCACCCAGCCCTCCCACCTGGGCTCAGGCCCACCATTTGCCCCAGGTTCATGTGGGCATGGAGTTGGAACTGCCTGCAGTGAGGCCAGGACTGCACACTGGCCCTACACACCAGCTGCCAGAGGGGGAGCTACCTGCACTGGGGGACCACTAGCTGCCATCAGCTCTGGGTGACTTGCCCACCTGCTGGGCTCACTGTGGACTGCACACCCACAGCAGAACAGCCAGAGGTCAGGGTGCTGGCTGCCTGTCCCCAGGCTCTGCCCCATAGATGTCCCCACCCCATTGCCCCCCACTGCAGGATTGTACACAAACCACATTTTAAGTAGTTTGCACAGGGAAGAGGATGTTTTATTGTTGGTGACTGGGGTGGGTGGTGGAGGGGCTCTGTTGTTCCAGGGGTTGCAACAATGACCCAGGGATGTTGTCTTTGATGAACTCAAGGCAGGTAGTGAGGGTGCACCAGCATCCCTTGAGGTGGCTGAAGGTGTGCTCCACCAGGGCATGGGTTTGGCTCAGGCACTGGTTAAAGTGGGCCTGGTGGGGGTCCAGCGGGCTGGTGTAGAGCCATATGAGCCAGGCCAGGAGCAGGTAGGCAGGGTCCCTGATGAGGTGGGGTGGGACCACCATGGTGCCCAGCTGCAGGTCCAGCACCCCTGGTGTGAAGCAGCCGCTCTGCACCAGGACTGGCAGGGCAGAGCTGTGGAACACGTGGACATAATAGGCACTGCCTACCCAGCTGGCATTCACATTGAAGTCACTGTAGTGGTCAATGATGGCCTGGAGCACCACAGAGTGAAAGCCCCTTTGGCTGTAGTAGGGGTGGTCACCACAGAGTGGGAAGATGATGGGAAGGTGGGTCCTGTCCAGGGCCCCAATATACTGGGGGAATCCCAGGATGCAGAACCCCACCACCAGGGGTCATGCATGCAGAGTGCCATGTGCCCTGGCATGTCTTACAGGGTGCCGCACAACTCTAGGATGGCTTTGCCCATTCCAAAGAGATGGCCCACATAACAGACGCTGGTGGGCATGGCCAGCTGGAGAAGGGCGAGGGCCAGCTGAGTGTCTGTGGGGAGGGGTACCCACATGGCAGTGTCCTGCATGTGGCTGGAGCTGCTCCAGGAAGTCCCAGAAGGTGGCCCAGGTCATCTGGAATGCCTTCAGCCACTGCTCATCATCCCAGGGCTCCTGGATGACATGCAACCACCAGTCCAGGCTGGCCTGGCAGGCCCAGATGCGGTGGGGCTGGAGGCCCAGGATGGCAAGGGGGATCCTGCTGGTGGCATCCAGCAGCCCATCATCAGCATCCCTGCTGGGGTCTGGACAGCTGGATGGGGTCCATGCAGCAGCAGCTGCACAGTGGCAGTGGCTCTAGGATAGTGTGGTGGAGCCAGGCATGTGATCATTGCATGTGGGGGAGCCAAGTGGGCCTAGATGGCTATGCACCAGCTGGCAATTGGCCTAGTGGGCCAGCACGGTGGCCAGCAGAAGCCCAGGTTGCTAGTCATCACTGCCAGGGGCAGCCATAGTGTGGGGAGGCAGAGGCAGTGAGGAGAGAGCTGCCGTGTGCTGTTTCTGTGCTGTGCACACTGCTCCTGGCCAGGGAAATAGTTGGCCAGGGAGCAGAGAGTGGGGCTGACTTTTCAAGTTGGCTGCTAGCTGCTGGCAACTGCATCCAGAACCTCAAGCTCCTCCTGGTGGTGGCAGAGACCTATTGTACGGTCACAGGAAGTGGTACCAGTTTGCTGCTAAGAGCAGTAAATCTGCTGCCACATCCCTGCACGTGTAGATGCCTGTCTGGGAGCATTTACTTGCTAGTAGTTTATTTGTAAGTAAATGGATCTCAGATCAAATGCATGTGTAGATGTTCCCAGTATCTTAGATGTGTTCTGTGTAGTACTGTTACACTGTTTCAGTAACTATCAATCTCGAAATATATGTACATGAGTTTAGATAGGATCCATATTAAAAAACAACCAAAAAAAAAAAGAAAAAAAAAAAAACCACCACACACATGGTTTGCTGGGGAGGGAGCATCTTGAAAGCTGTTTAAAAGATGTTAGCACTGCCTAGCCCTTTTGGAACCTAGCAATTCCTGACAATCTGCTTCTGTTATAATAAACAGCACTTGTCATTTAGAAGAAATTAAAGTAGGTGCTCAGAATTTGCCCACAGTTTAAGTACCTCTGAGCTACTGTTGCCACATACAGCTTGAATTGTACCTTTCAGAATTTTTGTTGTTAGTATGCAGTAACAGCACTGCTATGTTAAAACACTAGTTTCACTGGCTGTTGGAAATGTCTTGGCTTCACTGGGCTATTTTAGCTGTACTCATTATGGTTTCAAAGTCATTGTTTCTTTGTTTCCTGATTCCATTAGCATATTACAGCTGGAGACCATCAAACAATTACCTTGTGAAGTAATACTTCTCCCTTACTTCATTTGAATAAGTTATTCATCCTTGTTTTGAAGTACAAGCCAATTGGTAGTTTGGCAATCCTGATAGTGTGATGAACATGTAATCAGACTCGTGTTCATAAGAGGCATAACAAGGCAACTCTGTACCCTGGGCAGTAAGGCACAGGTGTCCATCTAGTTGTATGGGGCAGCGCTGGCTGCTGATGCCAGTACTTCATACTTCCTAAATGCTGCTAGAAATCAAATTTGTCATATGCAGTGAAAGAGAATGACTTGAATATTGAAAATACTGAACTAGGTTTCCAATAAAAAGATTGCTTCATTCTGATTATATTAATAAGCAGTTGTAGGGCCTCTTTTCCTCAACAATCCATGAACAAGTTCCTGAGAGGGTTTATAAAAGAAATGCATTGCACCTTCATAGGTGTACTTGGTAGCTGAGTTGGTCTGAGAGAAGAAGACATACAAAAACTAGAACTCTTGGTTCCAAAATGCTTTTATTAGACCAACTTGGAAATTGCAAGAAAATTGTCCCTTTCCCAGTATACTTTTTCCAGAGCCTGACTTTGATCCTAAAAGCTTGCAGAAAAGGACAGTTTTCTTTCGATTTCCCAGTTGATCTAAAAGGTATTATTTTGGAACCAAGAGTTCTAGTTTTAGGTATGCCTTGCACCTTCATAGGCAGACAATGTTCTTTGGATAAATGTGATATCTTTTATTAGGCCAACCAAATAGTTGCAAAAATTGTTCTTTACGAGCTTTCAGACACAAGCACCCTTCGTTAGGCAAAGGGCGGGTCTGTGCCTTCATAACACCCCTACATGCAACTATGAAAAAGATAACATTTAGCTTCACCACGTCCATGTCACTTAGGTATTATCCTCATTATCTGATGGGGAAGCTAAGACAGAGAGAAGTTAAAGGCACCTGTACACATGCCAAATGCCTCCTCTGATGCATGCTAATTGGCAGACTTGATTAGACAGACTTGGAGTAGACTCGATTCATTAGCACTCATCAATTAATCAAGTCTCTTGGAGCATTCTAATTGGCACACTCCAGCAGCCTTGGCTTCTTGCATGTTCAGCATCCCTCCACTTAAAAATGGTAATTGGGGGTGCATTAACTAAATGTTAAACAAGTGTTAGTTAAAGTGCCCCTGCCACCATTTTGAAGTGTGGGATGCTGAACACACACAATGCTGTGGGCGCTTTAATTAGCGTGGCTTCCAAGAGCTGCTCTAATTAAAGCCCACTCCCCCCACCTTGGAGCATGTGTAAAGATGCCCTAAGTGACCAGTCCAAGATCACGCAGGATGAACTGGTAAGAGGAACAAGCCCTGAAGACTCTTGTTCCAGCACCTTTATAACAAGGTCTACTTTATCTTTTTGGGGTGCCCATATTGATATTTTACGTGAAGGAAAGGGAAGGGAATTTCTACAATGCTACCCTTTCACTCTTGACACTGCAGCAGGAGGAGACCAGGAAGATTACTACTGTGCTAATATTACAACAAAGTTTCTTCATTTTTTGTGGCTATTGCAGAATAAAATAGAATATTGCAGTTGACAGGACTGAGTAGCCGAGTTTGTTTTTTTTTACCCATCCTGTACTTTTTATGTTAGTGGCCATAAAGTGCTGTTACAGTGTTTTTTATTTTGCTTACCCTTGCTGGTTTTTAAAGCCTGGCACAGGACAAACAGTAGCTTTTTTTTAATATTTCCCTCTCATCTGGTTCTGAGGAACTCAGAAACTGTGGTGAACAGGGCCAGATAGGCAGACTGATACACAGGTATACGCACAAACTGACAGAACCTGTCACATTGGAACTCCACTCTTATGCTTTGTGTTGGCTAGTAATTATGGTTTTCCTAGGGGGTTTAGCTTGTTGCTTCAGGACATATGCTCCCCTCATTCCTTTTTACTCTTAAAAGCACTTCACAGAGCTATATCCCCTTTATAATGTGTTTTCCTCTGTCCCTCTTTTAAAGACTCTTCATTTTGTGAATTAGTATTAAGTTAACTTGATCTGTCATATTAAGTTTGCTTTATAGATATGATGTTCTATTCAAACATATGTATTGCTGTATTAATAAAACTTTTCATATCCCCATCTATGATGATATACTAAGCCATAAACCAAACTTTCATCATGCTGTACCTTATTCTCACTTAACGGGCTGTCAGTGTTGGGGTATAGGAGAATGTGTTGTTCTTACTCCATGAATTGTTACAGCCAGGAGAACAGATACTCTGCTTACTGATGTATTATTCATGTCACTGCTGTTTGATAATGATCACAAACCTATCATTGATAAACCAATTGAGCTTGGCCATGCTGATAATCTTAACCCCTTTTTTAATGAAGAGTCAATAGTAGTTTCCCCTTGTCAGAGGTATGGAACATTCTTCATTAATAAAAGTATGGGTCAAGATTGGTCACAAAGTCAGGCCCCTTCTAACCAATATAGCCATGAAACAGTTATTACTTAGACATCTTAGTCCATTGTGCTAGGCAATATACGATTACACACCTAAGAGGAGATTATTACTATTACTATTATTGGAGCTTGGAATTCAGGAGCTGAAGTTACAGTTGACTTCAGATGATCTGTCTATCTCAGACTTGGAGGGTCTAACTATATATTTTTTTCCAAAGCAAAAGTCAACAGCACTGACATAATTTCATGTCTGTATTCTCTTCCCCACTTAATTCAAAGAAAGCTACAAGGTCTAGAACATGAAAGCCTTATATGAAAATACCCAAAGACTATGGTAATCAAGGTTCTAGTGCAGCTGACTGTCACAGGGCACTGAGATGCCTGCTCCTAGAAAGGCAGAAACTGCCTGGGGAGAGCCCAAAGAGACCAGCAGAATCCCAGGTGCAGGTTACCAGGGCAACAGGCTAGAAAGCAAATTAGCCTGCAGCTGGTCAGTTGACCAGAAGAGGCAGGGCCCTGGGCCCATATAAACCCCAGGCTGGAACTAGGGAGGGCAGTTCTCCATCAGTGGTGAAGGAACCCTCCTAGAGGAGGTGAAGGGAAGAGGCCTGACTAAGTTCTGCTCCTGGTAATGTTAAGGGGCAGAGCACACCTTGTGCAGCCTGAGCTATGGTATAGCCTATGGGCTTGCATTTTTTTTTACTTTTTTTTTTTTTTAAATAATAATAATAATAATAATAATAATAATAATAATACTGGTGGTTTGGGTGATGCTACTGCGGAAGGAGGAGGTCTCATTGGGGCCTACTACAGTGTGGGGACTTGAGTGTGCGGTATTCAGGGGTGAACAGGCCCCAATGCCAGTGTAGGTGCACAGGCCAAGACAGGGCCCCGGAGAGCCCTGTAAGGACCCAAGTGCCAAGCGAAACCAAGGCCTCGGGAGGGAGTGTGGCAAAGTAGGGCTCCCTGCCTAGCCACAGTGCTAGGCTACCCACTTACCTTTGGACATGCCCCCCACTTAATTAAGAACAAGGTGTTGCAGATGAGTTAAGATGTTCATT